ATGCTGTGAGGCGGAAGCCGCTGAACTTGATGAAAGGATGGTCTATATATACATTGTACACTCAATGGGGATATGTGTCACATACATTTTGTACATTTTAGCACAGCGTTTACGAATGTGATTCCCGTCTTTGGTAGCAAGTAATTTGATTTTGAAGAAAATTCTGTAGGCTCGAAATCACAAACAATGCCTTGAGCCAGAGAATGTCGACCATAATAACTCTAATTAAAATGTTTGCACTTGAATTCACAATTTTGGCGGCAAAACTTTTTAAGCACACAACTACACTTCCATTCACTAACACATGTCTGCTGGCGAAAGCGAAAGCACTAACACAATTCACTGAATAATAAACGACTACTACATGGCTATGCATGAGATAATTAAAGCCCCACGAAATGATGTCTTGTGCTGACGCAATGTGTATCATGTGAAAAATCATTGTGATCAATTAGCAAATTGCTTGAACATTGAACCGTTTGCCTCAGCACTCACCAATGCATCTATGGTCAGCTCAAATGCAGTTCAATACTGAACTAAAGGGCATGAAGAAATAATTGGGCACTTTAGCCGAACGCTCATCAATCGGATCTCTAGAGTGCAGTTTGCTCAAAATAATAAGAATAGTTCAATGTTTTTCGTCGAAAACCGTCATAAAAACGTTATCATATAAGAATGACGCATTCAAAAGAAATTACTGCAAATGTAAGCAAAATTTTCCGTCGAAATTGATTTGAATGGATTAGATAGTCCGGATTAAATGACATTTTCGGCTTCCATCTCGAATGTGTCTGTATGCTTTGATGATTTGAATACTCATTGTGTTTTGGTTGGCTTCACATCGAATACATTTCGCAACTGAATTGAAAAGATTATCGAATGCAATTTATTTTTCATTGATTCAAACGGAACCATTTAAACTAAATTTTGTCGCATTTACGTCGATAATAATTTGAGTAAGTGAGTGAGTGAATGTGTGTGCATGTGGGTCTGTGCGGTGAGTAGTTTTATTACGCGCACAATTTCTTTTGTCATTAAGCTAAGTCAATCCTCATTTTCGAAAACCGCATATAACTGATTCGGAGAAAATCTATTTGCATGTTTAACCCTCTAATGCATACAACCGCCTCTAGACGGGCAACATTTGTACGCCTGTAGAACATAAACCGTACATCGGATCACATTGCTTCAAAAAAAAAATTTATTTGTCAATGTTTTCTCTTTATTTTTATCCTTGGCAATATTTGTCTATGTGGTGTGATTGTATAGATATAAACAAAAATGTGTGCAAAAACAAAAATTTGGCAAAATAAATTATTCAAATCCCAAATTAGACACATTTTTGATACTTTTAAACAATGGATTTGATTGTTCTCTGATTTATGTCAATCGCATTTCTTGACTGAACCATGAAGGATCCAGGATTATGAACATTTTTTTAAATTATCTATGGCCAAGAATCAACCCTGGGAAAAATTAATGCATTAGAGGGTTAAAATAGAGAGTGCTCTATTCAACTATCATTGAAGTAACTGGATAATGTAAAATGTTAAAAGCATTTTGTAGTTTCATCTCAAACTCACTCTCTCTCTCTCTCTCTCTTTCTATCTCCGTCCATCCATGCAAGCAAATGATTTCAATGTGATCGAAATTTCTAATCTTATTAAAAAGTAAGATCAAGCTTTCATGTTGTCCAATAAATGTCATTTAAAACATTTGCAGATTTTTAGTTTGCGTTTCGCCAATGTCACCGATTGCTTTGACCTTTCCTTTCTGCCATTTGACTCGATGCTACATCGAAACGAAGTCAGAACACATAAAAAAAAATATATACGTGGAGAAAATAACATGAGCTCGCAATTTGAGTGCGCTTTTTTATGTTATGTGCATTCTTTGCTCGAGGACCAAAATTTGTTCCCATACTTTTTTGCTTGTGTGTGTATGTGTGTTCATGAAAAAAGGGGAGCCATTAAATTTGCGATGAGGTTTCGAACTATTGAATCAGCAGATTTTTGTACTAGGATTCATGTCAAAGTGTACGTGAATAGAGAGACGAACGACATTTTAGACAGAATAACAGAAAAAAACGTGTGCTTCGAAGAATAATTGCTTTCACTTCACCTTAAAAATATATAATATATGTGTACACATATCAAAAAAGAGAGGAGAGGGAGAGAAGGAAAAAAATTCAATACACCAGCCAACGGTGTGCCGATGTATCCATTTCCGTAAATTTCGCATTCATTGTCCGCCAGTATATTTTCATACATGGTTGGGAATTAAAACGGAAGAACATGCATATGAACTGGTACTCCAACAATGAAAAATATGCTTGAGAATAAATAATGTGGCACGCTTGCATTGCATTCACGGTCGTGTATTCTAATATATGCCATACACCAAATATAAAACGGCCTCCCACACACCGTTAGCTCCTTCGTTCGCTCACAACCGGATACAAGTATGTTGTAAATGGCGAATATAAACTCATTTATTTTATGTTTCTTTATTTTTACTCTTTTTGTGGCTGTATGAGTCTCTGTGTGTGTGTGTCTTCGTTGTATGGAAAACTAGATTGTATTTCCAATTTGATGGCGATGTGAATCGGAACGGAACACACATCAAATTGAAAAGTCTTTAGTCGATTCCCAGAGTAAGAAAGTTACCAACTGCATTCATCGCATTGCAACATTTAATTGAAATGTTCGAATCGCAATAAATACGCCATATAAATGCCAGTCCTATTTTATCTAATACCATGTCATTTCAATTATGTTTCATTTCTGATATGTATCATGTTCTTTTTTTTTACATTGAAATGAATTTTCTCCGAATTTTCGAAGGATGGAGTTTTTTTGTGTGTCTCGCGAATGAAAATTCCCTGAGGCAAGTCGAACATTTCATGAACAGCTCGTTGATAAGGCAGAAAACAGGGAAGGAGAACAAATGGAGCAGAGAAAAGTGAAAAAATGCCAAATATGTATCATTTTTATTTAGTGCCTTTTCGAATTACCATACATTTTTGGTGAATGCGGTAAACACATCGATTTGAAGTTTTGGCATATTTTAAAGTTGTTGCGAGTTGTTAGTCTTAACAAAGTTGTAATCACAATTTCCGCTTTGTTTGGCTTACCTGCACAAGTATATATACAGCGTTGGTGGTTGTCTATATAAATGCGAATAGCTGTCGCTTCGTTCACACCGAACCGTCGACATGAGAGATCTAGTACGCGCTTGGCATTTGGATAATACGGAGATTCAGAGAATGGTAATGGGAGAGAGTGAGAGGTGAAGAGAGAGGGGAGAACCACTGGTAGGAAGAAGAAGTTTACAATTAATAAAATGTGTGATGTGCAAATAGCTCTGAGTAATCAATTGAATCGCCTTCATCCCGCCCATTTAGCACGAAAAGAAGCAACAACGGATGAATGTTGATAGTTTGATTTGGTTCCAGTACAATTGGAGCACAGCGATTGAAAGAAAAAAAATTTCAATCTAGAAATTAAAAATAATTGATTTCGAAATGTCATTCAGTGTACTGTACATGTACATACTTTAAAATCGTTCAATCGCTCATTTGTCGCATGAAAAAGGTAATAAAAAGCGGGCTATCAATAGACCATTGTTCATCGATATTAATCGCTCGGTACATTAATATGCATGGCTTCTAAATAATTCAACGATTGACGAGTATTGGATTCGTTATAACAAACGACGAAGGATATACTCTAATGGGAAAAATCCACGCTGAACCGTTCACAAGCTATAAGAAAATCGAAACTTTTACTCAAATGTAAATTTATTCGCTAGTTTCTTGAGCGCGCTGGATGCACCGTATTCTATTTATACCGCAGTGTCTATGTATGGCTTGCTTTCGTTTAGCCGTTTAAATAAAGACGACGATGTCATGTGTTCTGAAGAATTGCGTTCAACAATCGCACTGTGTATTGCCAAAATCGTCGCCTAGTTTACGCTACACTTACAACACATACACAAACGCTCAAAAAGTGAGAGGGAGAGATTGCATGAGAACAGGAGTACAACTGCATACGGCACAATGCATCGCATTTGGCAGCGCAAGCACATATACATCGGTCATTTGGAGTTTGTGTATTCGTTGGCAAGCAGTGCGGCATGTCTATATACGTACTCTATGTATGAAGAGAACAAGAGAGCAAGCCAGCAAGACAGAGAGCGAGAGTGCTACCATGTGCATTATGTTGGGATCGCATTTTGTAGGTCATGTGCTTCCGATTTGACATGCGAATCGCAACGTTGTGATGTTTTTATCGTGTGCTTTCCATGTGAATACCAATTGAACTCCAACTCAAAATATTCGATCAATTTTACCCATCATTTGCATGGCCACGTGATCGAAATCGATTCATAGCATTTAACTTTACAATAAAAAGGAAAACATCAGAATGCATTTTAAATTGCCGTTGGCAATGTGTTTGTTGTCTTGCATGTAGAAAAATTGGCATACTTAAGAACAAGATGCACCTGCGTGTATGAGAGTTTGTGTGTATGTGCGTGTGTGTGTGGAAAAGTTCACAATTCATTTCACCGATTATTTTCTTATCGCTTTTCTGTTCCTGTTCCAGGCAATTTAAGTGTCGAAAGTAGTTTATTTTAGTTGAATGAGCTGAAAACATGTCGTTTTCATTCATAATACGTGGCATTTAAGTGACTCCGAAAATTGCTTTCATTTGTAAATGTAATGTGCCCTTTTATGTTTGAAATAAAGTTCTGATGTCGTTCGCATCATCAAGAGAGTGAATAATGTTATTGGCAAGCATATAATCGATGTTGGCAACTAGACTTTTGCTTACAAAGAAAAAAAGGAAGAAAGAAATGTGCCATGCGTGTTTTTGCAAATGAAAAAATTGCATTCACTTTCTGTGATCGAAGCATTCTGTTTTGTTTTCTTTGCATGTAACCTAATATCTGAGTAAAATACTGAGATAAACAACGCATTGTTGGTGGTAAAAGCATATTACGTCATTGAATCCATGTCTGTCGTCATCATAATTCCATCATCATTTTGACGTAAATTTGTTGTTGGTGTGCGAATCTTTTTCTTTCCTGCTCCTCTCACCACTCATTCAACCGAAGAATTAACTGTGAACTCATGTAACCAGCATATTTTTGAAATGAGAACAAGCAAGAAATTCTGATGTCCTTTTCTCCCTCGACAATACAATATTTGTTCGTCGAATCCCTTCCATCACGAAATTATTTTATTTCCACTTCGATTCACAGGCAAAGTTATTCATGCACCATGCATATGTGTGTATATACATATAATCAAAAAATCCCTCGTACACTATTAGTTTGAATATATTACAGTGAAATTTTAATTATCTAGCATTTTCTCGTTCTTCACACTATTCATATGTTTATCACAACCATTTGTCGGAGCATACACATCACTGACAAACCAAATTAAGTGCTTCCAAATCATAATTTATATGCAAAATATTGTGTGAATGTTTGCGGTGAATTTGAACAAAGTTATCATTGATTCCCTTCTTTTATTTATTTAACAAATACACAGAGATAAAACAATCGTAAAGCGTCAATGTTGGGACCAAAAGTTCACCTACAACATGTCGTCAAAAGATTACATTCTATTGTAAACAATTTAAAATTTCATGACGTTTTTTTTGTTTTTTTTCTGTTCCTTTTTTTTCTTGTACATCAAACATTATAGTTCATGTCATTCGTTATTTTCCACTGGAATGCCGTTTTACAAATCTATTCATTTCAGTTCTTTGAAAACATGTATAACAATTGCCACTTTTATGTCAGTTTCGTTAGACATTCGCTTTTGTTTGAACAACTTTTCACTCTCAATTCACTAGAAACACACAAGCCATCCCAGTTCATAGAGATAGTTCATGATTTTTTATGCTTGTAACGCAACTGCAGATGTTCACCGCTTGGTTTCTCAACAATCACTGTGTGCGAAAAACAATTTGGCCAAATCGAAAATTTTCTCTTGGTTTTGATCACTTCTGGTGATGACAGCTTCACAAGAATGGCTTCATTCTATTGTTTTCACTTGGCAAACCAATCGCTTATACTTCTATATGCACGTTCGATATTCTTTGTCTTTCGATCAACCCGCGAAAGAAAGGGACTAACGAAAATTATATTCACCAATTGTATTGAATGTAATGTCCCCATCTAGGCCGAGGCCCGTGACAAAATGCATATAAGCTCGTATGATTCGACTATTTTCTCTTTCTCTCTCTCTCTCCCTTTCTCTTTCCCTTCAGTTTTCCTTGCGTATTAATTTTTTATTTATCGATGAGTATTTTGATTTTTTCGGTTGACATTCGCAGCACTTGGCGTGCATGTGCTATGATTGCGGGTTCCAAGATTGGTTTCAATCGCGTAAATGAAACGTTGTCGCTCTTATCCACACTTTTGGAATTGAAACATCAAACCATATAGCTACCAGCACATTCGTATCGAAGCCGTATCACTTTTCAAATGCACAAACACAAACAGACACACACACACCGCATCGAGTGCGAACGAGTGGATTCACACACCGAAAATGCAATATATCCGCGGGGGAAAATTCACTCTCGAACTACTACTGATTTTCCCGCATAATATCGAGTAGGTCTAGGTCATGCACGATTGTTTTTGTAACAGTTAGCGTTTGGAAGATGTTGTTTTGAAAATGTGCGTCCAAAACGTGCCGTTCTCATCGATTCAGTTTTTCCGTCCGAATAAGACCGAAACTTATATGATTTCTGGTGTTGTTTAAGCTATATTTTAGCTCCACTTTACCATTGGCACTGATAGAATGTACCAACATCAAAATCGTCTCATCGCCCTTCCACACTTTTCTTTTTCTCTGCTCTTCTTTTTTTCGGTTTCGGCTAGCTTCGTACCTAATTCAAGTTGTTCGTCGTTGTCGTCGTTTTGAAAACTGTTCTTGGTGCGAGGTTTTTGTTTTTCGGATGGTTTATGTATTCTTCTTCTGCTGCTGCTGTTGCTGGTGCTGGTGCTGGTGTGGTTGCTGTCTTTTGTTGTTGCTGCTCCTCAATGTTCATGCTGTGTTGTTGCCGAAAAAAGCATGTGAATCGTACATAGTGCGCTATTTTTGTGTTTGTGTCTGTGTGTACATCGTGTGTTTTATCCACGAGAAGAGCGAGCACATTCGCTCAACCACCCTCATAGCGAACCTGCCTTCGAGGCAACTCTGTACTCCCATCAATTTCACCTACTCATCGCAGGATCGTGGCACGATTTTTCCATTCATTCTAACAAAATTTAATAATCGAATCGATTTCACTTTAGTTTTTCAATAATTCGCCCATCGAATGCGGGGTGGGAGTGTTCGATAAACGTTCTACCAAAATTCTATATTTAGAATTATTACCATTCATAGAGGATGACGGCATTGCCACTGTAGTGCTCCAGCGAGTGCGATAGAAGCACATTTTAATGTATATATTTGTATAGGTGCTATGTGTATGCCCTGTACTGCATCATGACCACGAGAGCTTTTCGAACGAGAGCGCCGCTTCCTTCTTGATGCGATTGTGCTTTTCGTGACTGTGTGTATTCCGTGCTTCGGAGCGAGAGCGAATCGCTTATCTGTTGTATTTTACAACGCAAATATGTATTATATACACGACGTTGCTATATGCAAAACAATGAAAATGTAACATTGCGTGTTTTTATGTGATATCCAAAGACAAATATGCTGTGTGTGTGTGTGTGTGTGTATGTGTGTGTGTGTGTACTATTATGTGTGAGTATATTGTTTTGCCATTGTCCTGCAAATGCTTGTACGTGTGTTTGTTGCATTGCGTTTACAAGAGCACGCGTTAGACTTGAGAGAGTGTGTGAATGAAGCGGGAGCGAGCGAAGGAGAAAGAGAAAGAAAGAGAGTGATAGGAAGAGAAAACACCTCCCCAACATAAATACTACAAGTGATGGTTTCAAAAATCGTTTGGCCATTGCTTACAGTATTTTGTGATATGCCATTTTACAGCTTATTACTTTGTTCACACAAAACCAAAGGCGGTTTTAGTGGTACGTAAACATTGACTATTCTATTATGTACCGAGTATATTCACTAACAGGTAATTTTGATGGATAAAATCAATATTCACATGAATGCAAACAGTCGCTACGTAAACAACTAAAACACGTATAAATCATTTTTTAAGCATTTTTGAATTATGACTCAAAAAAATCTATGAAAAGGTCATCCATCATTACCATATCATTTTTGAAGGACATGGCAGTAATAATGAACCAGGGGAAGAGAAAGAGAGAGAGAGAGAGAAAATGACGTGGATCACGCGTGCTGGACACTTTACTATTTGTAAACATTTCATAACCTGAAACTGAAGCAAAACACAATACCACCGCGCAAAATGCATGGAAATATGCGATGAATTTATAAATAGCATACTGTATGAAATGATGAAACTCGACCAATATTTTTCTCAATTAAGTTTCGTTAGTTAGTATGCCTGGGGGGTGATTTGGGAAAATGTGTGTATGTGTTTTTCTCTCGAAAAATTAAACTGACCACTTTTGCACACAGTTAACATCAATAATAACAAATTCCGTTCGTGCTTCTCTTTTTGCTCCATTTTCAAATGCTTTTATGACAAACACATTGTATTTTTCACTTGAAATACAACTTCTATTACATTCGTATTGTTTTTTTTTCAGTTCATACATTGATACCGATATGTTTTATCTATAATGGAAGTCCAATCCGAGAGAGTAGCATTCTAACTTTATGACTATGGTTATAGTCTAACTTTTAAGTATCTCTTCACAGCTCTTGAAAGATTTACGGAAATGCATTTTTTGTCTCTTTAAATACACATGTTTCATAAATAAAGACGCGCATAAAAATTGACGTACGATGTGGTTGCAAAAACGTTTGTTGTCGCATCATCTGGCTGATGTCAAGCGATTTGCCGAAATAAAAAAAAGAAGAAGAATATGCTAAGCAACAAAGTGCGCTGTAAATGGAAAATATTCAGCAATGAATGCTCTAACGGCATCTATACGGTATAATTTGGAATTCGTCATTCATGATTCAAGTCAGTGATCTTCTGATAGGGTCAAAAGCAATGCAAACTGAACTCTGAAACGTTTTGGATTTGCTGAATATATTACCATTGCACTTCACTGTGTTGATGCCAAGGAGAAACGTGTTTAAAAAGTGAACGCAACATGAGATATACTTCAATCAAGATTAAAAATTAATTGAAACGGTCTTTGTCAGAAGAGTGTCGTCGTCGTCGTCAGTCATTGAAGCTCTTTATCGCGTAATGACAGTGAATGGTGATTGAGTATGCTATTACAGAATGAAAATAAGCGAAACAATGAGAATGAGTGTTCAAAATTTTCGGTTAGTTCAGTTTAACGTTGGTGGACGAAATGTGCATAACGTCGTTGCCAGAACTGTGCACGCCAATGGCAACGAAAATGTGTCCGTTGAAAACGTTCGAAAATGGGAAAAGCTTTTTCATGCGAAAATCCTTGAAACGCTCTGTGTGCGACGCTATCCAATGCGCACTGTCAATGTAAAGCGAGTTTGAGAGCGAGCGAGCAAAAATGAATGAAAAAAAAACAAAAACTCACACGGCCTGTAAGTGATTACATGAATGCTCTCTGGTTATGGATAGATGAACTGAATGCTAACGGTACTGTTTCATGCAACAACAATAAACCGAAAAAAAAACTAACAACGGCAACTAACTGCAGACAAGCAATCGAAAATAAAAAGAACCCATGTACTTGACAATCAAACGACTATTCACCACGTTTGCATTGTCTGGTACGATGATGATGTGGGTGAAAGATGCATCATCATCATTAACCAGACTATGCCCATTATAATGGTGATCAAATTAAATTGAACACATTTATGACGACCATTCAACCAGCAACGATCATTCAGGTGGTACTTGGCGCATCTTTTTACAGCCTAGATAAATACCACTTGCAAAGTCACAAGCTAACTACCGAATTTTAGCCAAATAAATGGTAGAGAGTAAGAAAAGTATTAATTTTATACCATCAAATACTAACCCCATTCATGACATTAATGAAATTTTTATTGCATAAAGTATCCCAATTAAACTATTAGATAAATTACAAATGTGAAATGCACCGTTTATCACCCATTTAAAACCAGTGGAATTGAAATATGCCAAGGGAATTTATTTGGAAAAGTTGAAATTTTCATGTGCACAGTAATTTATTGAGTTAACATAAGCGACTAAAAAGTGTATTTCGGGAGGGTAGAAATTTTTTTTTGATAGTAACGGGCAAATTGCATCGGTTTCGGAATTAAACAAAGTTTTTGCAAGTTTATTGCATTCGAAAACGACGGGAGAGACCGACAGATAGACAGATAGAGAAAGAACAAAAAAAAAAACCGAATTAAACTAGTTATATATTTTATTGGCAAATTCATTGCTGTATATTTCAGTAGATTACCATCAGTTCGATACAATGCCTGCTAACAATTGACTTTTATACCTGTCAAAACGTTCGCAGCGCCGCAGTAGTCGTTTTTGTAATGTAAAATACATTCAAAAAAATTCAAAAGAAAAAAATCATAACGAAAATTTTTCATTACCTTTTGTGTGGATCTTCTTCAAATACAGTAACATACTTGAGCATAGCAGCGCCACTATAATCCCAAATTTAACTATGTTGGATGCAGACAAATTGTTTTCATATTTCCATACGATTGACAGAATGCTGTTACACATTGGTTCGATATGGAACCATCCATTGGCAAACACTGAGGTTGTTCTTCTTTCTTCAACTAAAACCCAATTTTTTCAGAAAGAAAATCGCGCATCAGATTAAAAAAAAACACATTGCCACAACAATCTTGTTACGTAATTTCAGTTGCCACTTCAAGATTGCCACGATAGCTGCAACGCAAATGCAAATCGAAGCATATCGAATCAATCAACAGAATAAGGTTGCAAAAAAAAAACCGCAAAGCAACGAATAATCTCATTTCAGTGTTTCGTTTCAAAAGCTAGTTTGCTACTTTTTATTTTGGTTCTGTCACATCGCACACTTGACCCAATTCAGTTATGCGAACAACAACAACAAAAACTTCGCAATTGCCACCGAAGTTGCTTTTTCCCTCGCAATTCAATATCTGCCGAGCATTTACAATGTGATTACTGAAACTGTTCACGTTCAACGATGGAATTTTCTTTGGACGATGGCTGTTTATTTATCCGTTGATTTAATGCCCAGCGTACAATTATCATGAGTCAATGTGATGATTAAATATTTGAAAATCGACTGTACCAATAAGAATTGCTTCGATAACGTGTGTCATTAACGTTACAGGGCATATTTAAAATGGAATT